TACCTACATGTCACTCAATGTCTAAACCACGAGCAATCTCCCCGATAGGAAGCAGGTCGTATCAAGAAGCTTCGATCATCGATGCCTCGAAGTTCGAGTTTCGATTCGAATCACATACCATCCTTTAGCAGATCGTTTTAAAGCATCATTACACCGAGCTTCCACCCCCAATCCACCCACCGATGACCGATCGTCTAAGAATGATAACAAAAAGTCTTTTCGCTGGTGCCCTGCGGTACAGCATACCTTCAGGCGTTTACCCCTGCTGCCATCTAGCGACAAAATTATAAAGCTGAGTAGCTCAACACGAGACTCACGCTCGAGGCAAGTGGCAAGCAAAACAATTACAAACCATGCTAAGGATAAGAAAAGCAAGGAAATAACCGAAAGTAAGTGGCGATCATGGCAATATCGTGCTGAGAAATAAGCCGAAACGGCATCGCACGCTACAGAGTCCAGGCTCGGATGTTTCGTCTGATCGTCTACAGGTGTCAGCACCACCACCTTGCTAGATGTCAGCACTATGCACCACAGATGGCAGCACCTTAGCACAGCCGCCGGGCCTACAGGCAGCAGGTGGTCGGGAGTGCCGGGACGGAGCGGCTCAGATTGTATCCATGCCGCCGGCCAACTGGAACTGGCTGCCCATCTCCGGGTGAGTGTGACGGCACGTGACGACGTGACGACCGTCGCGTGACGATGTGACGGGTGGGTGTGACGAGTGTGCGAAGGGTCATCTGACCAGGTGAGAGTGATGTGACAGGTGCTAGACTAGAGGTGTGCAGACTGCAGAGGTCTGTGAACGCTCTATTAGATCATGGTTGTGTCTTTTGTTGGTGACGCATTCGTGATAACAAGAGTGCCTACAAAAGTCCTGTCAGACCCGTGGGCCATGCCCCTAGTGCTCTGACCTGCCTATTTTCTCCGCAGACTTGATGCAGTGACGTGATCCTTCATTAACCAGAGATCCCCCTCCCCCCTCAGAAGCTGGTGGAGACTTATTATATCATGAGAAATCCTTGTAAACACGACTGGTTCTCAGTGCCTTATATCGGTGGTGTGCTCGTATAGGTGCAGGAATCTAACAATAAATTCAGTGACCCTTTTATCGCTGCATCGATCCGGGCCATTCAACCTTATCAGATTGCTGTTGGAATGCATTAACATTTAGTTCCAGGTGTCGGGCGCCAGTGACAGCAGAGCATTGGACTAGATTTAGGACACAGCATTTGATTTGGAAAACAAACTAATTTGCTCCTTCAATCGTACATAGAGATTCGTACAACCATAGGTAAACCATCCACAAGGCCAGTGGGAATGACCCATGCATTCTATTCTGACAGTTGACACACATTCACTACCAGCAGTGTCACCAGCGACATTCTCCATCCCTCACCCGACTCCAGCAGTGTCCACTGTCCACTGCCCATGCTCGGGATTCCCCATAGTTGAATCCACACCACCCCCTGTACTTAACCTGTCTCTTCTGGTCTCTTCCTCGTGACAGACGCAGCACGGCCCAGTCTGAGCTATTTTCGCCCTCGGTGGCACCTCATCAGCATATTGCGTGAGGGGAGGTCTCAGCACAGCTGAGACTGCCACAAACAGCCTACCCATGGGCTGTGGTGCTGATTGATGTATTGAGCCTAAGATCCTGTTTAGTGCTTCCTCGACTGGCGAATTATATCGTATATAATTAAGTATAATTCTACCTCTATTCTCTCTTTTATTGAATCCAAGTTCTGTCACCTGTTGCCCAGGTGCACTTGCACCATGATTCACGTTCAGCACGACGTACCTACTGCTAACGTTTACTTTTTCCATCGCATCCGGAAGTTCGTAATTGCCCCGCATTTCATACATCCTATGCGGTTCGGTCACAAGCACCACATCTGAGCTTTTCTGAATCGTGACGCGTCATTGTCCTAGCCCTCGCCCTGGCAGGGTATTTTTCATAACACGGCCTGGCAGGGGGGGGGGGGGTCGATGCGACCCCCCCCTCGCGATTGGCTCCTATGGCACCTAGAAACACCAAATTTGGTAGGTAGGTGGGCCCCCTGGAGTTCTCGCCCCTGTGCAAATTTGGTTGCTCTAGGTCAATATTTAGGGGGGTTTTGGGGGGTATAATGTAAAAATTTCGCTAAAAACAGGTCACAAGTTTTTCGCTTATAACTTTTGATCTAATTAAGATAGAGCAAAAAGAAAAGCACCAGTGAACTCAGCACGTCAAGGCGCGTCGAATGATATACTTTTAAGCTTGCTTAAGTGTACTTAAAGTTTTTCTTAAATTTTAAGTAAACTTAAATTAATAAATTAAGTTCAACTTAACCAAATTGCATCATATCGCATATCATTCGATTCGGCTGATCACCAGGAACACAATGATACCATTTTTGAAGCTCTAGCGTCATTATGTGCCAAGTTATTGGCAAAAACGTCATTTGACCTCAGTTGACCTCATTTGACCTGACCCATGGATAAGTACACCAAACAAAGAAGCACCAAGTGACCTGCTGTTAAGTACCGTGGTTTCAAAGCACAAAAGTGATAGAACGAAGCGGATATCTCCAGTATTTTCCGAATTTAGTATTTTCCCATAGGCTTAACATTACGACGTAATGACCTCTAACTGACCTCAGGTCAGTGACCTCAAAAAAGCCGGACTATATGTTATACAACTCGGTGAACTTAGCACATCCTGAAAGTTTGAAGGAAATCAGTCAAAAACTGTGAGTTGGACAGGTGCAAAAAGAAAATTGAAATTTGACCATGACCTTGTACCGGTTTTTCTGACCTGGTGACCTGACCCAAGGTCACCCGGACCTGAAATTTTCAGGTCATATGTAAAAAGGATGCCCCATAGGGTGTGCCAAATTTGGCGGCGCTGCGCGCCGCCGTTTTTACGCTATCTTCGAAAAACCTTAGGGGGGGGTCGCATCGACCCCCCCCCCCTGCCAGGGCGAGGGCTAGCATAGTCATTATGCCCTAAACGTTCGCGGCATTCTCTCCATTGTTATAAGCCTTTCCCCACGGCGTCCCGGCCGTCGCATTCCGTTCGCTCCCACCTATGCGAACGGTGTGTATGCGTTTCCGGTAACCAAGGTCATCCTCACACCTCTCGGACCGTTTTGAACGTCCGGTCGGACTCGGGACGTCAATCTAGGCCATGACCTTGACCGTTTGACCTTCTCTCGGCAACGGAGGGAGAGGGGAGGGGCGTCTATGTCGTGATGTGTGACGGTGATAATTGTTCAACTCTCTCGGTGGCCAGAGTAGAATGAGATAGGCTGACACCAACTGGCGATGTGGAATGTGGACTAAATGAGCTGTAAATGATGTGGCTTGTATAGACGAGGAAGAACTAAAAACAAAAATTAAGGATCTTTGGCTAGCCGAGTGGAAAATGAGAACCTCAATTAGAAGGCACTCAATCTCAAACATAATTATTTGCATGATGCGCTACCTGACACTTTAACCGTAAATGGGCTCAGGGCAGCTTCACACGTGAGACGTTACAATGAACAATGCATGGCGTCATGCAATCGCATTGAATACCTAATTTCAGAACCTTCTATTAACATGAACTTGACCCTAACTCTGACTTGGCCTTACTTGGCTCTTTTTTCTCAATTTATCACAACACTGAAGTCCTGCACTGACATTCCTGATATTTATTTATTTATTTCAGCTACACCGGTCACTGTCCGGGCCTCAAATATGACGTGGGTCACTCGTTTGACTGGGTGGTGCGCCACTTACGTGAGGTGAGTCCCCTCCCCTCCCTCCCCTCCTCCCCTCAGCACACACATGGCGTGCCTGTGGCTTCTGCCGGCCGTTGGGATACTAATTAACGGTCTCCTGAAGCATGTTATCGCGTTATACGGCCCTTAGACAGAGTCGGAGGTGGACCACAATAGCACGCCGGGCCGGGGAATGTCAGGGACAAGGCCGTGGTTCTGTCGGTGTTAGACGTTTCTGGTCGGCGACAACATGGGACGTGTCGAGAGGAAGGAGTGCTGCTGTGACAGGAAATGACATACGGAAGGAGAAGACTGGCAAAATAAGCTATTTTTGTATCAGCAGGCAATTATGTAACACTGAATGGAAGTCTGAGATTGAATTAACTAGATAGAGGAAGCCGAGTTCAATGAATGACAAGATAACAACGGAGAACACATGCGTAGTTTAAAGGGACCCTCCCACCTTCAAAAAAGTTAATGAATTGGCATGAAAGTGATGTCGCTCGGTTCAGAAAGAGCAAAAACGAATATCTACCAAATTTCATCGAAAAATATTCACCGGTTTTCAAGATATTAGACTTTTACTTTTGTTTACTTTTTGGGATCTCCGCTGTTCCTAGCGACTTTATTTGAAAGTGCGGCATTTGTTGCGCGCAAAGCAGCATATACCACCGCGTGCTACAAAACCGAAAACGTTTTAGTCAAACATTTAACGGACGTTCGAAAGCCTGATGACGTGATCAGATTCCCGTAATGGTTAAGAGATAGGGACCACGCTGGTCCCACCCTGCAAGTAAAGGGAAGAAATTTCTTGAACACCATAAAGCTGCGGGGGTTGCGACCAGGATAAATGGTGATTTCTGAGCCTGGCCGCAAACTTGGCTATCTCAACTCAAAACTAATGTTAAGGTGGGAGGGTCCATTTAAACGAAAACCCGTAATGAAGACTTCAAGTTCATTAGCACCCGTGGCCTCAAGGCCATTGACTTCTATGTAAGGTCGCCAAACGACCTTCTCGCTCACGGGGCCACATTGCGTTACAAACTTCCATCTCGGCTCGTTTCGGAGTTTCTCCAGTGACCGGCGGCCCTGTGTGTGGGCCGATCACGTCATAGGCTCCATGACGACCGGAGTGCGGCTGTCCGTCGCCGCGGAGCCCACCGGTCGCAGGTGCGGTCGATAGGCTAAACGACGGACCGGGGTGGGCAGCGCAGGCAGGGCAGTCAGGGGCAGTCAACGGCCGGAGGTCGCGGGGTCTGTCGTGTTGGAGGTGGTGGGAGTCCAGGAGGTCAGGACAGGTCAGGAACGGTCAGGAGTGGTCAGGAGCGGTCAGGAGTGGTCTGTGGTACAGACTAGCCCGACTGCGGAGGTCACTGCGTGTTACCTGCTGACCTGACCTGACCTGTCACGCCGTGACCTGACCTGATCCCCGGCGGTACAGACTCAACACGAGCGTAACTGGTGCCTTCTGTGGTCCCTGTACTATGCCGGTATGTAAATCTCGGCATTACATAAACAGGTGTAAATTTGACGTGTTACATAACCCTCGCCGGCCGAGGGGGGGGGGGGGCGGGTGCCGCCCCCCCCCATAGGGTTTTTTCGCGATAGCTCCAAACACGCTGGCGATAGAGAGCTGAAACTTGGCATACCTGACCTTTGATCCAAGCCGGATCTTTTGACACCAACCGCATTTTTGGGTCAGGTCAGGTCACTGACCTATGACGTCATAAGTGAACCTCTGCACGGTCTTCAGATGTCGCAACTTCGCAACGCCCTCACTGCCAGAGGAGATGTCACAGGGAAATGAAACTTGCAGGATCTAGTATCCATTATGAGTCCCACAACTTGTATATCTCGGATTTTTCCTAAAGGTCATATGAGGTCAGGTCATTTTCGTGACCTCACCATTATAAGTCAATGGGGAAAAATTCAAACTGCTATTCTGGAGCCGGAAACGATCTCCAACTATCTCAAGCAGACAGAATCGTGATTTGATGCACTCCTTGCAAGGTTAGATGCGTCACTTTTGCAATGTTGACCTTGCGTGACGTCATTTATGACGTCATCAAGGTCATATTAGTTTTTCGTCAATAACTCTTGATCAAATTGAGCTAGCGAGTCGGAAAAGCCACCAATGGACTCAGGAAGACCTGCCGAATCGAATGATATGCAACATGACCTCTTTCGACCAACTTCGTGACCTGGGGGTGCTGACCTGACCTTGACCTGAGGTCAACACCCCAAGTTGACCTGACCCGGACAAAAAGTATATCATTCGACGCGCCTGAGCGAGACGAACACGATGCTGCCAAAATCGGCGCTCTGCGGCCGTTTTTTGCGAAGTTATTCACCAAAAACTGAACCGTACCTTGGGGCACTTGACCTGACCTCAGAGGTCACCGGTTGACCTAGGACCTTAAAATCGGGTACCAATCTCTGCGTCTCGTAACGGCGCACACGCTCGTTTTTTTCCGCGACGCGCTAGCTCCACCAGGGGCGAAACGGCGAGGGGGGGGTCGTACCCGCCCCCCCCCCCCTCGGCCGGCGCGTATGTAGAAAACCAATAGGTCCGGCGAGGGATAAGTCTGTCACTTTGTGACAGTGATCAGGAATATTAGCCTTCCCGCTTCTTTCGAGTTACCCGATTGTTGAATGTCAAAGTCGCTTATAACAGCTGCATGATTTTGAATGACTAGCGAGGAAACTGATAATCGTTTGATGGTCAAATCTGCGAGTGATAGGACCACCTTTCTGTCTCGCTGACCTATCATCCCGCAGCTCTCTCACCTAACCTTTCTTGCCCCTCCGACTTGATCTTCCTTTTCTCACTGACCTGACCCCACCCCTCTAACCCCGTTGACCTCTCCCCGCAGATAAACAGCGGCCCTTCTTACAATCACGTGGTGGTGACCCCTCACGGTCACTCGGTGGGTGACGCGGGCAGCGGTCACGGCGGACCGGCCGACGTGGCGGACAGCTCGGCACCGGGCGGACACCTGACACCGACCCACTACCCGGCTATGCCCCGCGGCAGCATCGCCGGGTACACAGGTCAGTGGAGTGAGCGTGGAGTGTGTGTGTGTGTGTGGCGGGGGGGGGGGGCAGTCAGTGGAGGACAGGGGTGGCCAGTGGAACACAGAGGACGGTCAATAAGACGCAGTCCAGTCTGCCGATGGTGGGTCAGCTGGCGGTCAGGGTCAATCGGATCGGTCAGAGTTATTCCTGGGAGCGTTGGTCAAGTGGTCACGGCCGGTCGGTCTTGTCTAGTCGGTCATGGCTGGTAGTAAGGTTCTGTTGCTCGGATTCTGTTGGTCAGGGAGGAGGAAAAGAAACGGAATTAGGATCACGGCAACGTGATGGTCGTGAAGAAAACCGTGACGAGATCCGCTTTCTCACGGAAAGAACCTGGCTTGTTCGTGATTGAAACCTTTTTGTGCGGAGTTCATCGAACCATGTAGCTCGATAAATCATTAAGTAGATCACGACTACGATTGGTTACAAACAATGGCCCACTGAAAATACCCGTTAGGTTAAAAATCCAGTTCATTCGACAAATCAGTCCGAAAGCATCCAGGGTCTTTCAACTTTAACGCCTAAATTATATCTTATATGAGCCTAAATCTTGTAAGACATTTAACTTATTTTTTAGAGATTTTTTTACTTATTTTATAAGATATTTCACTAGTATCTTATAAGATTTAACGCCTAAATCTTATAAGAGAATGCAGCTTTGTATTATTTCACGACTACATTTTGGCGATCCACACCACTGCAACTGGCTCGCTCGCACTTAAAAGCCCGGCTATCGGGTTGCCCGGCACCACCTCACCTCGCGGCCATCGCCCTTCCGTGGCGCCGTCAGCCGAGTATGCACAGGCACACACCTCTACCGATTGTAGACGGTGTGCTCAGGCACCACAGCCCGCGCCAAGGGCCCGACAGGCACGCCCGGCCCCGGCAAACACGGATATGACGTCAGAGGCGGGTCAAAAAACGACGGACGACCGCCGCGCCGGGCCGGACAAAAAGGAGGTGACGTGACGTGATGGAAACAGAGGTGATGATGGCACTGTGACTTTTGGGAAAGGTCAATGATGCAAGTGCCTGTTGGATGGCCTTTTTCAGAATCGTTATGCTTGATCGTTGTAGGCATACTGTACTTACATATATTCAGACGAAACGAATTAGATTATTTCGCCATTCGTCAACTAGGTACTTCTTTCAGCCTCTCTATTTTCTTCTTCAAGCTCCTTTAGGAGTTGGAAAAGTACTACCTGGATTTGAAATTATTTCCTCAACACAGATGCACTTCTCTTCATGCCATTACCAATTGTACACTCTAAACGTAACGAGTGTTGGCTCCATCCTACGTCGTGTCGTAGCGCCAATCGACCTCAGTGGCCGACCGTTACACGCCAGACAGACCGGCCTGGACCGTTCGCTATCTTCGTCACCAAGTAGTGTAGTGTCGTCACACCGTGTCATGCAGCCCCTCAACTGCGCACTGGCCGGCCCCCAAACAGCCTTCCGAGTAGAAATACTGTCGCATTGATGAGTTGGTCGCAATCGAAAATGACGCACATGTCATATGTGAGAAGCTGCTTAAATGTTTGTGTTTTTAATGCCTATGTAAGACACCTTTATTATGCAGTGACTATGTAGCTGTTACATGCTCTTTGAGGCTGTTACTGACATGAAATATTCAGACTCTGGTAGCCTATATCTACCACCCTGACTCACACACTTTTGAACGCGTCATTTGAACTTATGTAGGTTGACTGAAATATAAAAACAATACCAAAGATGTAGGTTGACTGAAATATAAAATCAATACCAAAGCATGTTGACCATCTCGAGCAAATAACGGGGCATGGATTATCATCGCCATTTTTATCCATTTTAAATCTCCAGCTGGGTAACTCCAAAAGCAATCAGCTCCGAGTGGAGCCGACAGTAATAATTTCATCGGCGGGAACGGGTCTGAGTGACGTTCACTGCCAGACATTGACTTGTTGGTAGCAACGGGGCACGGACGGTATAGGGACGGTCGGCTCCTGCAGAAGTTATGGCTGCTGGCTGTAATGGCATCCCGCAGCGGTCGCATAACAATATCAACTGCTCAGTGCTCACTGCTCAGGTCATGAACGAGTGATGACACTCAATTATAAGACGTAATCTGCACTTACACAGATTGTAGATTTTTAAACTTGATAATGAATGAGATTGTCTGATGTGCGAAAGAAATCAAATCAGCCTATTCAATGTATGCGTGTGTGCAAAATGGTTTGGTTCACCACTACTGACAACAGCGTTACCGTCGACAGGTTTCATCCCTGGCCAGCACCAGCAGGTGGGTCTCAACTACCACAGCGCCTCTGACGCCTACTTTACCGACCTGGAGCGGCAGGCGAGCACGAGGAACCAGGACCGCGCCGCCAGCCGCGTGCGCAGTGCCGGCGCCGGCGCACAGGGCATCAACGTGAGGTCGGCCGAGGGGCCGGCGGCGACCCCGACCCCGCCCCCGCCCGCCGCACAGCCGGCCGCCGACCCCGCCGGCATCGACAACAAGTACAGCCGCTACTCCAGCACACACAAGTCCGGTACGTATCCTATCAGCTGCACGAGTGTGCTGTGAGCGACGCATTACTGGGGCCTTATCACTATGTTCATAATGGAGCTTGGTAATGTGTGAGAATAATCGTTACGGAGCTAGTTGGATTATTTTTCTGGCATTTTATGGGGAAAACTTGTAAATAGTTTTCTAATTTATTTCTTCCCGCGGAGCCATTGCTCTCCAAAAGCCTTGAGCCATTGTGTCTGGTTTAAAAAACAGCCGTCAACACCAATTCACCCTATATAGTTATTGCATGAGCATGCATTACGAAGCGCAGCACATAAATCAACTATTAAGTGTCGTTTCATGCACAGCAGAATGCTGAGGGAAGCCTTGTTGTACATAGGTTTCCATGGACATGTTTTGCCTTTATTGGCCACGCTGGAAGCTTCCAGTTTTATGACTGCCGGCTATGCAAAACTGTCAAACAATAAGTGCTGTCTCGCATAAGCCAGGGCACTCAACACAATGTTTTGCTGAATAATCCATAATCAATCACCAAATTAAGAACAATCATAAAATTGGGCATTTGTTTGGCCGTGCCTGAACGCAAAATCATTGTTTACCAAACAAACAGTTCGTTCCAATGACCCATGTTTGTTCCGTTTGCCTGCAGCCACTAAGGAGGCGATTCCGATCGCGGGATATGGCGGATTCGTGCCGCTCGCCCGGACCACGCAGATCGGCGTCGGCAAGCCGTTCCAGCAGTTCGCCAATGAGGGATTCTCGAGAATGCACGAGGTGAAGGACCTCTACAAGAGCCCGCAGCAGCCGAGCACCGTGGTCGCGTAGTCGGCCCGCCCGCCGTGACCTGAGTGACCCAGGCCAGGTCACTGGGTGACCCCGAGTGATCACGTGGTCAAAGGTCTGGCAGCAGTCGGTGGTGGAGTCTGGAGGGAGTTCGCGAGCTTTTCTTTTTAGGGCTGCGACCTCAGACGTCAGGTGCGCCTTTTTCAGGAAAGGTTTCAGCATTTTGACGTCACAGAAATATAGTTCGGTTCACACCGCAAGTACCCGAGGTAACCTGCGAACTTCGGCAATAAGGAGAATCTAAGGAATGAGAGGAGAGGATACGTATGCTCAACGTTTTCTTTGGAGCTCAGTTAAACTGTAGCCGGTAGCCTATCACTTCTCGAAAAATGCCTATTTATCATTTCAATTATCATTATTTAAATTCGAAATGTGATGCGATGTTCTTTTGTGGCACTTAAGAAACTCTATGTAGCATACCTTTTCTAAACTGTTTCACTCTTGTCTGCGCATTGTTGTCCAATTAAGTAAAATTCGACCGCCTGTTCTGCCAAGGCCTGAAACAGTCTTTGGCCATGGATGTCTTTGGCCATATCACCTACGGAGCTCATGCTTCCAATTACCTACCAATCTGCTATATTCCTAAAATTTTCATAATATATTCATCAGAGCCGATATAACTCTGCTTTGACCTGGTGCCTCTATTTCATTTCATCAGTCCTTTGGTTGGTGCATATAGCATGTTGATTATCTGTTTACCTATGTAAATACAGAGTGCTCTATTCTTGCTATGTCGCCTTTTTATGCCTTTTTGACTTAGCCCTAGGAGAGAAGCTCGTTCACCATTGCCCGTATTTCGGTCCGAGGAAACCCGACATTGGCAGGGCTGCGACGGCCGCTGCGGGAGCTGTTTTAGGCCGGAGCCGCCGTGCTGGTTGTCACTTTGGCGGCAGACCAAACACGACCGACCGACACACAAGGTCGCGGACAAACACAGGAGCGACTCGCGTGAGAGACTGGCGCCAGCCGTCACGGCAACGCAGAGAGCGACACCGCACGGCACGAGGAGATGTAGAATGGCACCACACAGTACGGGAAAATATAGAACGGCACGGCACGACACGGGACTGGCATGACACCAACGATACGATGAAAAATGTAAAGGCACCTCACTGTATGGGACGCTATTTTACAGCAATGGTATACGTGTAGGGTACAACAGGCACAGCGAGAGTAAGTTTGGAACGTTTCGGTAGGCCATGAAAAGAAATGATACGAGCTAAAGCATACTTAATCGACGCATACCTAGCGATTTTTACGTTACAACTTTGCACGGTAGGAACATCGCATCGTGACAAAATTCTCAGCAAACCCCATCCCAGCACGACATGATTCGCACATCACTTCATTTCATATCACTTCAGCTGCGAGAAACAAGGGCGGATGGGGAAGTCGCGTTCAATTCATCGCCCAAGTGAAAGTCAAGATCCTGGAAGACCGTAGGAACTAAGCGGAGAAGCACGAATGATTGAAATGGTAAACCAGACCACAGGATGGATAGCATGGAACATAAAAACGGCAGTAACTGGGACGGAAATGATTTATTCAAGTCACTCTCACGTCCGTGATTGCCTTGCTGGCATCACTACACAATCACGGTCGGACGGACTGACCGACGCCCGGCCAACAATCGATACAGAGTGCAGTCTGAGCGGCGACCGCACCCTGGACCTTCACCTTGGGCCTGCGCCATTGACCCCGCTGTCATGGACTCCAGAACGAGTGGCAAGGAGTGGTCCAAAGAATGGACAATTTGACAGCGGGAGTCGAGTGGGACACTTTTCGGTCTGACAGAAACAGAAAGTGGTAGAGTGCATTTTTTTTTGAATATTTTGATCAATACCTAATCTAACGTTCATATCAACAACAGACTCAGATGTCAGTTTAACCCTCGCACGACCAGGCCATTTCTCATAACACGAACGACCAGGGGGGGGGGGGTTGTTACGACCCCCCCCTGGCGTTTCGAAACGGAAGGTCGTAGAGCTTAGCGGAAAAAACCAACGGATTGCTCTCAACGAGATCTCGCGATTGGTGGTATATTTTTTGGTCCTAGGTCAACATTTGACCTACTTATGACCGGTCAAAGGTCAAATTTTCCGAAAAAAATCAAACTTTTTCAACTTTCCGCGGCGATTGCGGCAAAACGGTGGGAGATATCGACTTGAAACCTTCACTATCGTGTTCCTTGATCAATTCTCTATCGTTTGGTATGTATTTCGTTTCCCTAGCTCTAAAAATGGCGCGTTGGGAATGGGAGCGCCGGAAGTCGGCAAGGTCACAGTCGGCGGCAGAAATTCGAAAAATCAAAATTTAAATTTTTGAAATCTGATTGCATTTTTGGATTTGGGAGGTCCATTTGCTCCCTATAGAAGCTAATATTGCTGCATATTCCCATTGAGGTGACAAGAATTAGCAAAATAGTGGTTCGGGCGCTTTTCAAAAATAGTACCGGACGCTGTTCCTCTTGTGACGTCATAGCTCCGTGACCTGACCTGACCCGGTCAATTTTCTTGCACCACACGATAGCCAATGCTTGCCCCAACATGCATGGGAAGTTTCATCATGATCCATCAAACAATGTGGGTATCACCGGCAGAAAACCTAGGGATTCGGCGCACACGTTTGGTAACTGTCGGCCGGAGGCTGTACCTCTTATGACGTCATAACTCCGTGACCTGACATGACCCGATCAATTTTTTTTTTCGGCAAAAGATGCGCAAAGGTTGCCCCAGAGGGTATTGAAAATTTCAGCCCGCTACGACAAGCCGTTTAGCGTGCACTTCGAAAAAACCTCAGGGGGGGTTGATACACCCCCCCCCCTAGGCGTTCTAGGGTTAACCCGCGACCTGGTGGGGGGGGGGGGGGCTATTTTTTTGCCCCCACTCCAGACTTTTCGATATATCTCCAGAACCGCTGCGCCGATCGTCACCAAACTTTCAGTACCCTCCCGAACATCAATTTTACACATTGTGACCAAAACTTTTTCCAAAGGCTATGATAGGTTGGCCGGAAATGACGTCAGAGTGACGTCATGTTCTGCCGTTTTCGACCCAAAAAAGGGTTTTGCGGGAAGAGCTGTCAGGCCTATAGCTTTGCAAATACAGAAAAATGATAGAGACATAAAAGATGTAAAATAGACAGGGCTATAAAACTGTTATCTCGGATTTTTGAAAATTTTGGATTTTTACCCCCAAAAATCAAAAAGTAGATTTTTTGGATATAATAGCCGGAAAATCCAAAAAGTCTTTTGAATTTCGCAAAAACCGGAATATATGTGATCGTCCTTATACCGCCTTCCATCCAAATACCAAATTTGAGATTGATACCTCTTTTTTTGGCGAAGTTATAGCGAAAAAAGTGTTCACAATTGATGACGTCAAATTTTCAACTCAATTGTTAGCAATTCTAGACCCCCTAGCGCAAAACAAAGACCACCATTATACTCCCCGTGACAAGCTGCATCGAATCAATACCCATTTTATGCAAAACTATCAACTTTAACCCTCGCCCGCACATTGGGGGGGTGGTTGCCACACCCCCCCCCCCCCAGGTAGTCTTTGTGCTCTGCACTCAACATTTTTAGAGCTAGAAGGCTGATTTTTCGTATAGCTGCTCCTCTATCCTTTCTTGATGTCCACTGAATATTTCAAGTTTCTGTGACCTTTGGTTTCAGAGATATGACCTTGTTTTTCAGGTCATGTCATGACCCAAATGGCCAATTCTCGACATCTTGCGTTGGCTATGGGCCTTGTGAGCTTTTGACACCTTGATTTCGGCCTTTTTTACCAGTCTTACCTCCCACCCATCATGGAACATGTTGTTCGACGATGTACAGATGTCAAGGTCAAGGTCAAGGTCAACCTAGGTCATCTAAGATAATTGCGTTTTAGGCAAGCGGAATTTACTTTTTGTGAAGTTTTTTGACTGCATTTTTGGTAAAAGCTTCTCAGATCATGATTTCATGTAATATGGGCACATAAACAATCGGTGCACACATCAGTATACACACAGACACACACAGACATACAAACACATATAATTGACCTTGACCTAACTTGACCTGAAATGACCTCAGCAGCAAAAACCTGGTCGGGTAGTATGAGAAAGAGGTTCTAGCTGGCTTGGCACCAGAAAACGGCATCGTTATCGGTATATGATAAGCAGCGCACTTGATATCCAACGGTGACCTAAAACAGCAACATTTTTTAGTTTGACCTGACCTGGAAGGTCAATGACTGACCTGAGAAGGTAAAACTGGGTATCATTGGATTTGTCTCTTCCCAAAGAATCTTTTTGGTCTTTACCGCTAAGCTCTATCTCCAACAGGAACGAAATGGCGCGGGGGGGGGGGTGGCAACCCCCCCCCCATGTGCGTTCTAGGATGGGAAAATGGCATGTGCGGGCGAGGGTTAAAATTTGACCTTTTTTGGCCTTACCTTGACCTGACCTTGATCTGACCTTCACCAGAAAGTGACCTAAGCCGTACCTGATAGTCTTATAACCAACACCATTGAGTTGGAAATGAAAAATTGGCCATAAAACATGCATCACACAACCTTAGTAAAGTTGGGTTCATGTGACCTGACCTGTGATGTGACCCTTGGTGACCTGACCTGTGACCTGACCTGGTATTGTCAGTGACCTCTAATAGCAACATATCTACTAGGCAACTGACGTCCTATCGCTGATTCTCGACAAAATGCGTTTTCCTCGGTGTTATAGCGCATTCCCTAGAAGACCCGTGAACGGTGAAACATTTCATCTTTGACCTGACCTGTGACGTCATCGGTGACCCCGAGGTCAATGAAATTTGGTTTCCTTCGACAAATTTGACAGGCCTTTCGAACGCCGTTTAAATTTTGCGGATCCGTCCAGTAGTTTCGGAGATACGAGGGGGGACAAAAAATAGCCCCCCCCCCCCCCACCACCAGGTCGCGTTATAAACAAACCCCACCAGGGCGCGGGTTAAATTTCATAATATTTTTGAATACCTTCAAGCGTCATTTCCAAAATAAAAACATAAAGAATGGGCAAAGTTGAAAGTTCCTCATATGAGCTTCGGTGGAACGTTACGAAAGAGGACGAGCAAATCGCAAACCATGAATCGTAAAATACTAATTACCCTCGACGCAAGCATTTCGTGCACGCTAAATCAGAGCCCGTGTTTGCTGTCAGCGCTATGATAACGTTGCGGTGGTGCAGTTAAAACGAGCTGCCGCAATGTCCCATTCAGCCGTGATTGGTGGTCCCCAGCGACGCACCACCGCACCGTGGTCCGATTGGGCCCACAGGCAGCGCCGTCTGGCAGATATACCGACAACTAGAGGCTCGCAAATACTCCACCAGGCTGGGCTGACGGTACTTACCTCTCACCAGGTGGCGACTGGGCGCTGGCCAGCCCACCGGCTAGCGGCTTGAGATCAATTTGCAAGAGTCACTAGTGAAATATCGAGCTAGGAAAATACTGCCCACGTCGGAAATTATCATTACGAGTCGTCGTAAGCTTGCAGGATTGCTAGCACGAGGGCATGCCAAAAAAAAATATGAACAAAAATATAAAATTAGAGATCGGCTAGTGAGCCAAGAGGGCGTCATGAAGTGCGTTTCTGAAACAGTCACAGCGTTTTTACCTATTCTCATTTCACCTATCCGTGCTTCTATCCTCAGGATGCTGAAATCCATCTCCTCCACGCCACAACCCCATCCGGGCTGGACAGGCAACTTTATC